CCCGCCCGCGCGCGCTTCCTCGTGCCCGCGCCGCCACCCCGACGCGCAGGGCAGCGCGCAGCGGGCGCAGCGCAGGCGAGGCGAGGCGAGGCGGCTGCGACCGGCGGCCTCCCGCCAGGTGGGCCCTCGGCCGAATCCGGCCGCCCGGCAGCGCCCCTGCAGGAGTGCCGCAGGCTGGCCACGGGCGCCCCCTGTGCGCACGGGCGGAAAATCTTCATCCTCCAGGGAAAGGTCCCCGTGCGCCAAGCAGGCAAGGTGCAGCCCCCCCCTTCTCATCCCATTTTACCGGAATGTGAACCGGCGCTGGCACAGTCTAGGCTTCCAGGGTCGCGGAACCGCCTCCTCCGGAAACCCACGGACGGCCCATCGGGAGCCCCGGTCTGCGCTGGAGAGATGCCTCCCGGCAGCACCTCCAGCCCCAGCAGGGCCTGCCTGGAACGCCCGCAGCCCAGTGCCCGCTGCCCGTCTGCGGACCAGGCCGGGGGCGGCATGTGCCCGCCTGTTTTGCTTTGTGACCCACCTTGCTTGGTGAAGCACTCAGAATCTGGTGTCGCGTTTGGGGACCCCCACGTTGGGCTGAGGGGGGTCTTCCGCTGATCCCGGTGATGGAAATCTCCATGTGGCCACTGTGCCTGCCTTCCTTTTGCAAAAGGAATGAGGCCTTGCCTTTAAGTTGCGCCGCCCCAAAGCCCAGCAAAAGCCCCGCAGGCCCCGGCTGCCCTGCATGTACCCCTCAGCTGGTGGAGGCAGGGAAGCCGCCGCCGTTCCAGAGTGCCACAGCCCCTCCTCTCCCCTCTCCCCCAAATGGACCCCCCAACTGCCATGGGCCTGCCACCGTCCTGGCCTGCCCCCTGCCGGGGACTACAGAGCCAGGCAGGTAGCAGCAGGCCCTGGCCGCGGGGAGCCAGTCGTGGCCTGTGCCCCCCTCCCAGCCTCCTCCAGGGTGCATTTCTTGGTGCCTGTAGGGGAAGGGAGAGAGAAGCCTCCCTCCCAGCACTGGGGGGCAGGGGAAGCCTCCACCCCTTCACGACAGCCCCCCTTCTCGCCTCCCCCACAGGTCGCCTGGCGGAAGGTTCCAGGCCCACCACGTGCGTGGAGCACGGGCACTGCCAGCAGGCCACACAAAGCCCCTCGCCGCATCAGTGGCGCCCCTTCTGAGGCTGCGATGTGCGCCCGCGAGGCGGTGAGGGCATGCGGGACCTCGCGGAAGCCGCTGCGCTTCTGCTTTCCCAGGAAGGTGCGGAAGGGCCTCCAGGAGGCAGGGACGCCTCTTCGCACCACCACCAGAGCCTGCAGCCTCCCGTGCCGGGGGGGGGGGGGGGAACGCCTCTGCTGCCAGGCGCTTTGGCGGGCAGCCCGCCTGTGCCCCCTGCTAGAGGCATCCTGGATTGTGGGCTCTTGGTGGGAGCGGAATGCCTCTTCCGCTCCCAGTGCTCAGGGTCTGCCTCTCTCTCTCTCTCTCTCTCTCTCTCTCTCTCTCTCTCTCTCTCTCTCTCTCTCTCTCACACACACACACACACACACACACACACACGGATGGAGCAACCCTGGCCACCCTTATGGGGCTGCTGCGCAAGTTACAAGGAATGTGTCTGAAAAGCCCTGACTGCCCAAACGCACTTCCCAGGGCAAATCGTTTTGTTTCTCCGTTTATTAGTTTTTATACCGCCCAATGGCCAACTGCTCTCCGGGTGGTTTAAAAAATCGATAAAAAAGAAACAGGAACAAACCCCATCCCAGCCGAGCAACAGGCCCAGGCAACAACCACCACAGCTATCTGCATCCTGCCGCTGCTGGGCCTGCCTCTCGAGAGAGGACCCGCCCGGTCACCCGCCTGTGCCGCAAAGCCGGAACGCTTCCACGCCGAGACCAGGGACGGGCCACGCGCTGGCCGCCGGGGCCCAGTCCCCTTCGCGGGACTTGCCGGGGCCCGGCTCGCCAAGGCCACCTGCTGTCTGGCGGGCAGCTGGTCCCTGTCGGTGCCGGAAACAGGGCCACAGGAGTGTTTAGCCGGCCAGAGCTCAGAGGCCGGCGTCTTGGGCAGGGGTGCCGTGTTTGTGTCCGGGGGGGGGGTGGCGTGCCTCACCTTGCCCAAGAGGGTTGCCTGTCCCTGGGGTGCAGCCGTAGATAGGGGGCAGCCGAGCAGCTGACTCGGGCCAGTCACCCTCCCCCTGCCTTCCTCAGGCAGTTGCTGGACTGCTTAGAGCCCCGTCCGTGGAGAGCGGCCAGAGAGGGGTACGACAGACCAGCCGTGTGGTTGGCCCCACACCCTCCGCCTCCCCATCCTTGGGCTTTCTTTACTGGAGATGCCAGAGCCCCTTTCGCCCCACCCTGCAGCTCTCGCCTCCGGTCTTGCACTCCGGGTCCTTGCGGGAGCAGCAGCACCTGGGCGCAACCGGGGCAGGCCGGGCTTGGGGCGCCTCCCCCCTCGCCACGCACCATGGCGGGGCGAGGTCCGCGCCAAGCGGGGCTCCGGCAGTATGGGCCCGGGCGCGCCAGCGGCCACAGCAGCTCTCGGGGGCGCAGGGCCCGGACAGCTGTGAGGGGCACCAGCCGCACAAGCCCCTGCTGGGCGCCGCGACCCGGCCTGGAGGGCAAGGACGCCGGGCCTTCCCTGCCGCCCTTGCTGCTCTCCCACGTGCCTCGCGCGGAGGCCCCGAGGCGGCGCCTGGACCTGCAGCAGGAGCCCCACCCGAGCAGCCGACTGCGCCCCGTTCGCTCGCTCGCTCGCAGGAGCGGGCCCGCGTTCGCCCTGGCCCCGCCGTGGCCTTCCCCACCCGCCCCGTCCTTTCCCCACTCTCCGGCCGCGCTGCCCGCGTCCTTGGGCACTCGGTCGCCGGGCCAACCCGGGGGGCGCAACAGGCGTGGCCCGTGCCGCGCTTTGCAATTCCGGGGGCGGGGGGGCGATGCTTGCGTGGCAAAGCGCGTCGCTGCGCGGAAGTGGCGCGGTGCAGCGCCGAAGGGCCTCGCGGGGCGCGCTCGCCGCTTCGCCAGCCTCCCCATGGAGAGCGCAGCATCGCCCGCTTGCCCCTCCGAGGCTGCGAACCTCAGCAGCCTGCGCCTGGCCGAGCCCGAGCTGGCCCGCGCCGACGCCCTCGCCCTCGCTTTGCGCTTCCCGCCTTGCAGCCAGGCGCCTTGGCGACCGGAGCCGCCGTCCCCGCGCGCAGGCGGCCGGTGGGGCTGCGGCGAGCTTACCTGCTGCAAGCGGAACGGGTCCCCAGCGGAGCAGAGAGGGGACTCCCGCTCAGCCTCAGCCTCTCCGGCGCCCGCAAGCCTCCTCTGTCACTTCCTGGGGTCCCTTTACTAACCCCCGCGGTCACCCCGCCACTGCCTCGCTCTGCCCATAGACGGCCACTTCGCCTGCGCGGCATCGCATGCTGTGGCCCGGGCAGCGCGCCCTGCTCGGGCTGCCTGCGCGGGTTCCCGCCCGTCAGAGCAAGGCGCTCGTGGGAAAGAGGAGGCACCCTCCCAGGGGCTGGAAACGCTCCGGGCGGGCGAGGCGAGGATGCAGCGGAGCCGCGCAAGAGCCCCGCCGCGCCCCAACAGCGGGCTGGGGGCTGATGGGACGTGGCCCCCGCAGGCCGTGTTTTCGTGAGGCGGCGCGTTGTTTTCGCCGTTGCCTTACCCCCCCCCCCGGAAACGCGCCTTCCTGGCGAGCGCCTCCCGCCCAGCTCGTGGGACGAGTTTCGCTGAGCGGCGCCGTGCCTTTGATGCGCAGACGTGCGCGGGGCCCGATGCTGCCCCGCTCCGCCACTGCCTCCCACGGAAGGCCCGCGAAACCGAAAGTTCACACCGGCACCCGGGCCGGGGGTTTCCCTGCGCTTCCTGCCCCAGCAGCCTCTCCGCCCGCCCGCGGCGCCTGGTGAGCATCCCGGCACCTGCTCTGCTGCGCCCCAGAGGCGCGAGAGCAGCTCGGCTCGCCCGACCGGGGCCCTCCACCCGCAGGGGTGTCCGTCCCCGCGGCACCGGCGCTCGAGGCGAAGCGTGCAGACGAGGCTGCTCCGCGCGGAAGAGCTCGCGCGGCCCGTTGGGGTCGCCCCAGCCTGGCCCCCGGGCCCGCCGCAGCCCCTCCCCCAGCGCGGGGCTCGGGGGGCGCCCCGGCACGCGGACTCCAGCAGCGCCAGGCCGGCTCCGGCCACCCGCCCGCCCCTGCCGCCGGCGCGCTCGGGGCGGTGCCGAGGAAACTTCCCCTCGGCCGGCGGGCGGGCACCCGCCCTCCTCGGCGCAGTTCCTCCGGCCGCCCTCACTTCCTCCGGCGAGGCGAGGCGGGCGGCGGCGGCGGCCCAGCGAGCGAGCGAGCGAGCGACATGAGCTCAGGTAGGCGCCGCCAGCGGGACCCTCCGCGCCCGGCGAGCCTCGGCCGCTCTCGGGCCCGTAGGCGCAGCGCAGACCGGGTCGGCGCGCGGACGAGGCCCGGCGTCGTCCGTTGCCCGGAGCCGGCCGGCCGGCTCCCTTGCCCGCGCTCCGCCGCTGCGCCTCCGCGGAGGGTGTTGGGTGCCCCGAGCATGTCCAGAGGGTCAGCTCGGGCGAGGGGAGACGCGCGGCGGGGCTTCCCCTGGGAAAGGACCCGCCGACGACGAGCACGCCTCGGACTTGCGGACCCGGCCGGAGGACGCGCCCGCCGCCACGCTTTGGCCCGTCGCGGGGAGGGGGCGGCAGCCCAGCCCTCCGGCCCGTCTGAGGCGGGGCTTCCGCGGAGGGTGGGCTGGCGAGGCCGGACGGGGCCCGCGCCCGGGCGTCGTCCTGCTCCGCGGGATCCCGCGCCCGCGCCCACTTCCCGCGCGCGGTCTCCGCCTGGGCGTCGACCCGCGACTGGCGATTCTGCGCTTTGGCAGGCGGAGCGCGACCTTCCGTGCCGTGGGGGGCCCGGACACGTGGGCGGGGGGCCGTTTTCTGCTCCACGCCGGCATGTAACACGCCCCGCGGCCCCCACGGGCGGCCGCCGGGGGGCCTTCGCCGAGCAGTCTGCCAGGCCCGCTCGCCTGCACCGCCCGGCAGTGGCCCCGGGCTGGCCGGTGGGCAGCGCTCGTGCGCAGGGCCCCCCGCAGCTGCGGAACCTGGCGGGGCCGTGCGCGCCCTGCCCGCGCTCGGAGTTCGCCGCCGCACGCGCAGAGCCGGGGGGCTGGCCGGCGCGGGAAGGAGGGGCGCTGCGGGCGGGCGGGC